CCCCCGCACCCCCCAAAAAATAAATAAAGCACACAATTTAGATAATGAATGAGGCAGGCATCGTCCCTGCCTATCAAGGTTAATGCAGGCTGAAAGAGATGCAAGATCCCAGCAGAATGTCCAAGATACAGGATAAAAAGTCTACCCACTCGGGACTCGAACTCGGGTCTCCTGTGTGCAATGGCGCGGCATACCGCTCCATCACAGATGCGGTTTAGCCGATCTACGTGCAATAATAATAATCATGATATTAGATATTCCCATGAGTAGTCTCGAAAACCTTATGTTTCCTTTGTTAATAAAGGTTGCTTTAAGAATAAGGAACTGCTTTTCCTATTTGCTTACACTTACACTATACATCATCCTCTAAAAGTGCATTGAATGTATGTCTTTTTACATTGTATCATAAAATATCATAAATGCATTCAGCTGTCAATTCATTCATTCATTCATTCTTTCATTCATTCATTCATTTATTCATTCAGATATTCATTTATTCAACCATTTATTAGTTCATCCATTTGTTTATTTACGTTTGGATTGATTGATTGAGTGAGAAAAAGAATTTCATTTTCTCAAATTCTGTTTGATAATTACACCAAACCTAATATTACAGTATATCCTTGCCACACATAACGTCTGAAGCGGTAGACGAGGGTGGAAATCTATATTTGCTTCTTTAAAAACGTTTATCTATAATGAGTTTTAAAAAACTAAGCACGAAATTTTTAAAAAAGCAAACAAAATAAATCTAATTCTTCTTTACATTTCTGTCGGATGTCCATAGTGTTCTTTTGGACAGACAGATTGTCTACATTTTTAAGCCTGTTGCCTCAAAGTGAACTTTGGGTTTAGATAATATTTTCCATGTTAACTTGCTATTGCTTTTTTCCACTAATCTGCCTCACTGCTGAGCCCAACTCGTTTAGAACAAGCGTGAAAGAAACATCTTTGTTGAATGAGAAAACTAATTTGTCATGATAGACTTAGCTCATTCCGTTCTTGTGAAAAGCATTATAATAATGTTTCGTCGGCTACAACTCACCTCTGCTCCCAATCACCTCCACCCCACCCCCGAACCACACATACACACAGGCTATTACTTAGCTCTGAACTTCAAAATGTATTGTCTATAATGTAAAGACTTTTGCTCTCTGTACATAGCTCTTTGAACTTTTTAATTCTTTGTATAGAGTTCTTTGGACGATCTAATTCTCTGTACGATTTCTCTGTGGCCGACACCGCTCGACTGATCAGTCACACGAAAATGGATTAATCAGACCTGAAAAGTCCATCTTATCTACAATCCAAATATATATTTATTGCAATGATCATTTATTTCTGTTTGAAAATAGTGAAACGATATAGGTTTAATGCCCCTATCAACTATATTTGGGTACTGAATAGGTGGGACCTCCGAGTTTAACGTCCATCTAAAAAAGGACAGGGCCAAATGGGAAATTCATGTAAAATGCTTTTCCCAAAGTCACGTCGGACGGAGCTGAGGCTCGAACCCGCAAAACCCCAGTATCACGATTGCAGGTCTGGTAGCCTTACCACGCTTGGCCACCGACGCCACCATTTCAGTTTTGAGTTTATTTTATGCAGAAATTTCAAACAAGAGCGGAGGTACAGAGAAGCTTTTGAGGTAGCAAAACGGGATGGCGAAGTGGGGTGCGTTCAAAGACTGGAATAAACTTCCGTACAGCAAGAGTTAAGGCACGTTGACTTAAACTGTTTTGATCAAAAGATGGGCAAGTTGTTTAGAAAACGTCCCTGAATACAGCTACATGTGGCAGCAAGAGCACATTGCATAGAGACTGTGTTTACGGAATGTGTACACACAGCTGGGTTTGAGGGGGACGACGACAGGAGGAAAAAAGGAGGAAAGGCAGGATAATATGTATGGTGGCGTCGTGGTGAAACCAGGCGCTCGTCAAAATAATTAAACCGAGGAAATGGACATTTTTCCTCTGGGCCAGTATTGTCAAACTTACTTTTTTCCCCTTTTTTTCTAAACCTCTTTTCCGTTAATTCAAAGCACACACCTCTGCGCGGATTTCGCTGAAAAATGTTGATCGAAGGCAAAAAAAAAAAAAAAGTAACTTCAGTTTCCAAGAACACTCAAGCTTTGGAAATGTGTACCCACCAAAATAATCAAAAATAAGGCCCAAACATGACGAGCGCCTGGTTCTACGGTGTCATGAGACGTCAGTATCTGGAAGGCCATCCAGCTGAATATGCAACCTACTTCACCACCAAATTTTTCAGCACCTCAAAGTTCCCTGTAATTCCACTCCTATTCAACCTATTTGCATATAAAATTAACAGCAAACTGAGTAGAAATGAACCCTGCTTTCAATAAACATACAGTTTGATTATAAATGAGATAGATTTTCTGTGGCTTTGTAGATCTTTGTGATGACTCTGAACAAGCGAGCTTTATGTGTGCTAGCTGTAGTGGTCCTTCGAACACCAGGGGTTAAAGAATATTATTACGATAATATGGGTTTGGGCAGTGAAAGGAGAAGGTATCCAAAAATGCGGGAGTGGGGAGGAGAAAGGGGGGGAGTGAAAGAGCCTGGTTTAGAGAAAAAGGAGAAGAGGAAGATGGAGGTGAAATGAGAGAGAGAGAGGGGGGAGAGAAG